CTGACTTCGTGGGAGATACTGGCAAATTTCGGGTTCGGTTGATGACGGTAGCTGGTGCAGAATAGTAACTTCCTTCTGCACCGGAGACTATCCGCTTAGTTGGCTTCAGCTTGGTTAAATCACCTTCGAAAGCTGACTGGATATAAATCTTGTTCTTGGCTACCTTGTGCACCAAGTCTTCTGGACTTCGCGGTTAGCTGTGTTCCTCGATAAATCTTCGAGGGGAACTGTTCGTCATAAGTGTTGCTGTAATTAACACTATCTCATGATCAAGACAATCGTCCGAACAGATTCGTCTGGCACGACTAACTAGAGTCTTCACAGGTGTCCGTTTGTGACGCATGGGTGTGAAACTGATGAAGAACAAACACTGACCGCAACAAACTGATTTTCGTCTATCATCCATGCGACGAATGTGAATGTCCAAATGTCGCAGAAAATTCTCCTCTTCTACTTTGCATGTAACCCATAAGTTAGCATATGCACTGTTTAGGCGCGGTAGCGACTGTGCAAACTGTTGCTCCGACGAACAAAACGCCAAAATATCATGAGCATATTATTTGTGGTAGGATAACTAGGCTATTTCCGTAGTAATGCTTCTTTCTATTATCAGCATTAGAACGTCAGCTAGAATATGGCCTAATGAGCTACCCATTGCCATGCGATCAATTTGACGTCAAAATGTGTTCCGGGAACGAAAGTTCACATTCGCGTTGCACAATAGTAGAGATTCTCGCAGCAGTTCATTTGGAATTAGTAACGGGCAGTCAGAGTTTTAGCTAATTCGAGATCCTTATTCATTTATTAGACATGTTAGTGAGAGGTAGGAAACACCTCAGCTATTGTGTCGCAATATATGAGAAAGAAAAAATAATGCAATAAAAGCACGTCAACTAAGCCACCAGTAACGGAGTGACATGGTTCCGGAGAGCTAGCAGCCAGCTATTGTACCGCAAAATGAGAAATTATTATATGCTTCAGGAATGAGCTCGTGATGGAAGGGAAGGCTGAGTGGGGGAGGGGTTAAGGACAAAGAAACTCAATAGAAAAGCCACTGTGGTCGGCTCTTAGACATGTCAATAAGGGTATCCAGAAAATGTGTTCATGATCTTTGGGCACCAACCATGGAGTCAAGAGGCTCCAACACCAAGGCCATGTCGTCCATTGGCCTCCCTGTGTCTTTTGCCGTCAACACCTACTGTGCACAAAAAACGCACGTCGCGGTATGCTCGATATGTGGCACAGTCATCGGAACCTGGTGCATGAAATAACAGTTCTGAGTCGTTGAGTCCCAAACACTCATTGCTCATACGGTGCTCCTACCAGATATGAGGTAAACTGCGAACGCACCGGTGGTCGAACGTAACTAGCCTCTACATCGGCCAAGTTTAATAACCGTACAGTAAGGTCGAATGTGCGGCTGCATTGTAGCCTCTACCCTTCGGAGAGAGCGATGTCGCGTCGGCGCCAAAGATGGCAAAGAGTAGAAAAAGCGCCTGGAGTATTTGCACCAGTACAGCGACTACCCGAATTGCCACAACATAAGCTGAGTGAGAACTCTTTCGCCGGAATAAAACACAACAAGCACTGCGGGAGTAAGACGGGATGAAGAAAAGTAGTCATTTATACAGTTTCTCCCAAACGGGTAACCACGCAATTTTGTCCGGTGAAGCTTAGATAACAAGGATGCGATCTGACAGCCAGCTAAAGTGACAACGAAGCGTATCTCCGAGGTGATGATAGATACATGTAAACATCACGATGTCACAGTGGCTCACAAAGCAACTGCCTCTCTGTGGAGGACCCAGTCAAAATCCAGAGCAAAACCTGGAGTCCACGAACGAGGAAATGTTGTGTATAGGATAGTGTCGAGATTGCGATAAGAACTAAGCGGGTCAGACAGGAAGGAGGCTGTCAACAAGAATACGAGCATAGGGTGTACAGAAAGAAGCCGAAGTTTGAAATAACGTGACAACCGGCAGATGGAGCGCGCTGTGGCTACACTGAGCACATGTGGTAACTTGCTTAGAGAACAAAATGCCTTTCGCCGCATTTCGCTCGGACTGTTGGTTGGATAGCTAAAGCCGCTGAAGTGGGTACGTGCACAAGCTGTTCGTCGGATTAGTGCCACAGACAATGAGAGCTTAAAGAACAACCTGGAGGTATGAAATTTTGCTACAAACCTAGCAAAACTTTTACAGGGACATTTTAATTGCCTTTCCAAGCATACGAGGAAGACTGTAGGAGTCGCACTCTAGTGCTATGAGCGGTTTAAGTGTATTGAACATGGAAGAATGTCGGCCGGTGACGATTCCAAGCCTAGACGACATTCCACATCAACAGACAATGATCATGTCGAGGGAGTTCGTGTTGTTGTCCGTGGAAATCATCCTTTAACTGTTCGAGAAGTTGCTGACGAAGTAAACATCAGAATAGGATCATGCCATCAAATTCTAGCGTGTTTGGGGGATGGTGGGAACAGGAAGAGGTCTGAGCAGTGGGAAAACCAAGATTGGATGTTGCATCATGACAATACGCCGACGCATGTATCACTCCTTGTCCGCAGTTATCTAGCAAAACACCACAATCCCGTTGTACCGAAAGCACTGTATTCTCCGGACCTAGTCCCAGCGAATATTTTCCTGTTTCCAAAATTAAAAACCAGAATGAAAGGACGTCGTTTTCAAACGATAGGGGAGATTAAGGACAAAGCGACAAGAGACCTGCGCACCATGCCAGAAAGTGGGAGGCATCCAGGAAGCATCGTTTGGAACGGTGCATTGTCAGTAGAGGGGACTACGTTAGGGGCGAAAGTGGTTAAAATGTTGTGAAAGAAGCAATAAAGATGTTATAGCAAAAGTTCGGTTTCTTTTTGAATACCCCTCGTAAAACGGCTTTAAAGGATAACTAGGTACTCTCCCTGGTTGGAGTGCATTCGGACGAGGAGGTTCAATGCTTCCATCGGACTAAAACAGAAGTCTTAGCATAAAAAGAACAGGAAAAGGACGTGAATTGTGCAAAGCTTAGTACTGTAAGAAGCAGTGAATAGACATGCGTATTGACATCGACCAAGTTTATCAAACAATCAGATGCGGAGAAGTCGAATGGCTAGAAAAACATCATTGTTAACCAAAATAAACCAACAAAAAACGACCGGAGCGAACCTATCTCACCGATCACACAAGTATACCCGAGACCACAGGCAAACGGATTAATGTCACGTGGCACAGATCGAGGTCAATTCAAATCATTTGTTCATCAATCGTAAAGTTACGACCGAGACAGCGAAAGTGTACTCGACATAATAACGTACTGAGGAAGTCGTCAAGTTTGGTGATGAAAGATTTGCAACTCAATTGTCAAGCTCAGAGAGCACGTGAAAACTGGAAGGATCAGCCCGAGATACCACTGTTCCAAATCATTGTAAATGTGCATGGTATGTTGTTGTGCCCTAGCACGTCTTAGTTCTTTTTCCAGTTGAAGTTGTACACAAAGGAACAAGGCCTGGCTACGTGCTCACCAGTACCCCCGGTATGGTCGAATTTGTACCCGGCGGACTTCGAGAACGCACTAACAAGGTTTCGTGGCGTTACGTACATGATAACTTTGTGAAAAGTCGCTAAATCAACGAAACTCTACTTGCCAGAAAATAAACCGTGAAGTTGGAGACATGCAGTGGTACAATACCATTCCTTGACTGTTTAATTAATAGAAATGGAGAAAATTTGAAAATAACCTAACGTAAACTAATAGATACCGATGGGATACTCCATGTTAGTTCAGATCACCAGAAACACTTGTGTCAGCGAAATCAGCCTCGCTGCTGTTTGCCAGGGCACAGACTTTGTGTACAGAGAGAATAAAGGGGATCGCAAGGAAACAGGCGAGGGACAAACTAATGGGCAGTGGTAATCCGTGACGTCTAGTGAAAGTTTAGTTACAAAAGGTATTAAACTCATAGTTGACATCTGCAATGGAGTGAACAGAGATGGTGGGGATTTGATACAATGCAAGAATCTCGGAAGCAATTCGAAAGGTATTGCGCAAAGTGGGCATAAGTGTACCCCTTACGTTCAAAGACGGTGTGCTTGAAAGAGCTCCTGCCCACAGATAGGAAGACCGATTGTGTGTACACAAGCAACTGCCAATATCGTGCATATGTATTCATCGGTCAAATAACGTGAGAGCTAAGAACACGAATCTTAGAACAAAAAGGGCGAATTTTGCGACCGCCGAGGGATGGGCTCGGATACAGTGCTCTGTTAAGGGATTCTGTCGCAGTTGTGCAAGCGCTCGACACCGGACATCAGGTCGACTTAGATAATATCAAGAGACGTTTGCGAGCGAAACCTCAGAGGTGAATTGCCGAGACGATCGAAATCACCAAGGCCAATAGCTGTGTCAATAGAATGGAGACCGTGGAGCTCACGGTTGCGAAGCAAGCAATCCTAATCAGGCCAGTCTGAGCAGCGTTCATACGCAGGACAGGTTAGATATCGAAGATCGATATCATCATCGTCGTCACCAATACTGTAATTTGCAACGCGACGGACGGTGGAACTCAATGGAATATTCTCACGCTGTGTACCACTTAAGATGACTTTTCCAAATGTGTCTGTAAAAGTCTCCTGACTCGTCTCGGTTGTCAGGATTGTTTCCTAAGATGCTACACCAACTAGGTACGAATTCACCTGGCCTGAGGAAGCTTTCGCATCAAAAGCGGAACGTTTGCAAATAAGTAGATCAACCGATTATACGTAAGTCTTCCTAAAACCATATTTTTCAGTGATACTTGAAAGCAGTCCGTGGTTCTAATAATAAAATCAGTTACAGAATAAAAATCCAGTTTCACATAAGAAGGTCCACAAGTCATCGCCTAGAAAACTGATTCAGCGCTCATTCGAAGATCAGAACAAAAGGTACCACATGGTCAACTAATGCAGTATGAATGACGTGGTGTACCTCGATAAATAAGACCCAGAGGATGATGTTAAACCTACCAGGAACATCACTGGATAGGAGAACAGAGTCATCAACTCCGAGATCTTTCGACTTGCAGCTTTTGAATCGGGCTCTAACAAAGCAATCCGTCGGATTCCATCGTGCAGGGTGAGCGTGGCTTTCCAAGTCCTCTATATCCATTTAGAGCATGAACAACGTAAGCGTACTGAAGCTAGTGAAGATAATAGAAAATAAGATCAAACGTTAGCGAACAAGCTCGTTTTCAGTGGTTCCTCATCAGGTTAATACACAACAAATAAATGACATGAACGAAAACACCAGATTATATATATATATATATATATATATATATATATATATATAAAGAGTGGTCTGCACGTTTGCTTTGCAACCATAAGGTCACCGGTTCGAATCCGCGTAGGGGTGGGCGTCCTCGCGGTATACTCAGCCCGCGCGAGACTGGTGGTGGTCGCGCGGCAGCGAAGCGCCGTTACGGCGTATAAGATGACACATATATATATAATCAGCAGTCTAAAAGATGGACATAGAACCGGCGAAAACCATGAAACGGAAGTAATAAATACAAAGACCACAACAAAAAGAATAAAAGTTGCAAAAAGGTTTTTCGTTTTTTTTCTTTGTTTTGTTTTTATATTTTTTCACACGCTGATTTATCTTTTTTTGTCTGTTTAATGTTTGCGACGTAAATCAAGCAAATCAAGGCAAACATGTGGATACATTTCCACTGAGCCTGGTTTCGTGCCATCTCCGTGTTTCCAGCCAGCGGTGTTCATCTTTGAACCCCCAGCCCGGAAGACGCACGGAACCTACGACAGCCAAATTGGAAGTCAGTGCTTTAATCGTTTATCGTCACGTAATACGCTGACTCCCGCGCGAGTTCTTCCAGCCTGGTCCTATGCGAGCGAAGAGCGCGTCGGGGCAGCCGTTCCCATGCCATGCATAAAACGTCGCCCAGCCACCTCAGTTGGCGCAGTGGTACCAGTCTGTCAAGTAGAAGTCCAGTGTTACCCAAGACGCGACGTCTAACATCATCGTTGCCATCGCAATGAGGCTGGACCTTACCGTGGTGCGATGGTTTGCGTGCCACAGAGATTCGTTGAGCTATGCTGGGTGGTGCTTTTGCACCTTCAGAGCCACTCATACCAGACTGGTCAATGGTTAGAGGCCAGACAAACTCAGCCTCCTGGTCCTCCAGGTTGGGGGTTGGAATGGGGGTGGCTCCTCATTTCATAAAACGGGCTCTGTAGTCCAGTGCCAAAACCCACTGCCTTGCGGTAAGGTTTTTGAACCAAAGGCTTTGGTTGAGAACCCTAATCGTTCTCCTATCAAGGCAGTGGCAACCAGACAGTATTCTGCTCACGCAATACAATGAACCTTTCCTACAACAATTTCTTGATGCGCTGGCCGTCACAGAGGATAATAAACGGCGCCCTATCTGCTGCATCGAGCAGGGTGGATAGGGGTATGTATGCTACTGCTCAGGCTTTCCCGTCTTCTTATACCCCTTCTTGCGCTTCTTCACCCTTATCGTCCCGCTCCAAATTCACTTATATCCCCCACATTTTCCATCCCCCAATTCTCGGCCCTCCCTCAGCTTACTTCAATAGTCGCTTGTCTTCTAATTTCAAATCACACACAATCGTAGGGCCTCCCTACAATCCAGTCGACAAGTTTACGTTCAACCAAGTGGACAACGTCAGTTCATCCGTTTCCCTTTGGAGTCCTCGTGTCTCGCTAAGACTGGCATGCCTCAACGTGCGCATTTTGCTGCAGATTGGCCAACAGGCAGCACTTGCCCGCACACTAAAGACCCTGTCGATCGATATTTGCTGTTTATCAGAAACCCGCCTGCAAGATTCGAGCTCCGTGCTTACCTGAGATCCCCCACATGCGACACTGGCAGCACATTCTCATTGCGCCTGTCTGGCGATGATGCAGCTTCAAATGCCGGGCAAGCTGGCGTCGGCAATGTTTTGAGTCCCCGGGCTGAAGCTGCCATGGTTGAATGGATCCCAGTCAACAGTAGGATGTGCGCCGTTACATTAGCTGGTCCGTTCCGTGCTACGAAGTCGCGCGGGGACAAACGGTGCCTGTTTGTCATTGCGGCTTACGCCCCTACAGACTGTAGCAGATTCGGTAAAGGATGATTTCAATCAGCAACTTCACGAGCTCCTACGTTACACAAGAAGCACGGATACCGTGGTGTTAGCTGGCGATCTTAACGCCCAAGTCGGAAAATTGTCCTCTGATAAGCTTCATCAGAGCGGCCAACATGGTGTAAGCTCCCGTAATGATAACGGTGAGCGATTGCTACAGCTGTGTGGAAGTGCTCGCCTCTTTCTCGCGAGCGCAGACTTTCGACACAGCACCCGCAGAAGTGTGACTTGGCGGCCACCAGCCTCGGGCCAGCCATGGACGCAAATCGATCTTATCACGATCAGTTGCCGCTGGAGAGGCTGTGTCCAAAACTGTCGCTCGATTTGGAGCACGAGCGTTGACTCTGACCACGCGCTTCTCTGTGCCGAACTCCGAGTGCGTTTCGGCGGACGTCCGCAACGTCGATGTGAACGGATTGACACCAGCCAGCTGGAGGAGCCAGATGTTCTGAATGTGTACTAAAGTGCGCTGGCATTTGGGCTGAGTAAGCGCCCACTAAACACCGTTGAAGATCACTGGTCGCATATTCGTCAAGCGTTGCTGTTAGCAGGCATGTCTTCATGTGGCAAAGCAAATTGCCAAACCGGACATTGGGTCTCTACACAGTCTCTGGGACTTATGGATGCTCGCCGACGTATTCCGGCTGGAAGCGGATACGAGGCTCGCAAAAATCTCAGGGAAAAACTACGTTGTAGCCTGAAGAAGGACCGCGAAACCTGGTGGTCTCATCGTGCCTCTGAGATGGAAACAGCCGCTGCCGTTGGTAATCATCGTAAGTTATTCCGTCTGATACGGGAAACAGGCAGCAGGAGACCTGGAGTTAACGAGACCATCCGCGACGAGAATGGGCAGCCAATCGACAGCCTGTCAAAACGTTTGGAGCGATGGGCTGAACACTTTGCAAGGAAATTTAACCAACCTGAGTTATCACTTGCTGTTTTGGGCACTGAACGCCCTTCTCCCTGCGCCGTCTCCTTGGATCCGCCCTCACGCACAGAAGTCGAACGGGAAATCAGGCTGTTGAAATTGCGTAAGGCCGCAGAGGCAGATAGAATTCCCCCAGCCCTCTTCAAATTCGGAGGACCTGCTTTAGTAGTTGATTTACACGAGTTGCTGGTAAAACGTTGGGAGCAGGAGACAGTCCCGACAAACTGGAACCGCTATGTCATTGTCTCAATTCTCAAGGGAAACTCCCGTTTGGAATGCGGCAATCATGGAGGAATCAGTCTGATCTCCATCGCCTCTAAATTGCTTACCTCTGTCATTCTCCACAGACTGACTGGCACTCGTGAAAGCCAGATCCGTGAAGAGCAAGCCGGGTTTCGTCGAGGTCGCGGCTGCATCCACCACATTTTCACCTTGCGTCAAGTGTTGGGGCACCGCCATGTTTGTTGGCGACCCACCGTTGTCGTGTTTCTTGACATAAAAGGTGCCTTCGACTCAGTCGATCGATGTGCCCTTTGGGACTGTCTACTGAGGAAAGGTGTGCATGATAAATATGTAAACATTATCAAAGCGCTGTACACGCATAGTTCGGGCAGGGTGAGGGTTTATGGCAGACTGTCACCACCCTACAGTAGCACCAGTGGTGTGAGACAAGGTTGACCGTTGTCAACTTTCCTATTTAAGTTCGCAGTCGACGAAATCATGGAATCAGCTTTCGCTGGACACGACCTAGAAGGTGTGGAGCTACTTCCTGGTGAGCGACCTCTTGACTTGGAGTAGGCGGACGACATTGCCCTAATCTGTGACAGCTCCCAAACACGCCAAGCACCACTGCACCGATGAGCACTGGATGTCAATTGGTTTGGTTTATGCTTTGTTCCATCGAAACACAAAGCACCTCTCCAAGATTGGCAGGGACACACCACCGCGCTAACGCTTTGTATTGATAAACTAGAAGTCCTTCATGAATTCAAGTACCTGGGCAGCTATAGTAGCACCCGTGGGATTGAAGACGAGGGTACGAACCATATAGCAAAAGCTTGTAGTGCCTTTGCTAATCTCCGCCACCTGTGGCGCAGACGCGACATTACTCTCGCCCTCAAGGGCAGAGTTTACAACGCAGCCGTCCGTTCAACTCTCTTATATGGCTGTGAAACCTAGCCCATCAGGTCGACAGACATAAAAAGGCACGTCATATTCGATCATCGCTGCCTTCGCAGCTTAGCTCATGTCTGGTGGGAGCACCGCGTGAGCAATGAGCGTGTTCGACGTCGCGTATTTGGTGCAGGAAGAGTGAGTGAACCGCTCAGCACCATTATATCACGCACCAGGCTCTGATGGCTGGGCCACATGTTGCGCATGCCAGCACATCGACTCCCGCGACGTGCATTGTTTGCGCGTTGTGGGTGCGGTTGGAAGAGGAGGAGAGGAGGCTAAGCGATGACTTGGTCGAGAGAAATGAAAACCCTCACTTCGAAGTTGGCGTCGGTTGGTCCATCCCGACTGTCTGGCTGGGGTCCTAAGGACGGTGAACACGTTTGGTTGGACACACTCGCTGATATGGCTAGGTGCCAGCCCTAATGGCGTTTGTGGTGCGGGTTCGTTTGTCCATCCCCTTCCTGTTTAGCATCCTCCTCCAATCACGATCTCACTTGTTAGGCATAATTTGACTTTCTTTTACGGCAGCCAACTGTTAGCTCTCCGGAACAATGTCCATCCGTTACTGGGGACTCAGCGGACGTGCCACTGTTCGTTTTCCTTTTCTTGTCATTTGTATTGCGGCACAATAGCTGAGGGGTTTTCCACCTCCAGCTAATGTGTAATGATGATTATGATGAACATCATCGTTGCGTACGTGGTACATCCACCATACTCGAGCTATCCTCAGTAGACATCCATTGTCAAAGACCGAAATCCGACGCAGGTCGTTCACAGAAATCGGCCAGGACTCACTCCCATGCAGCAGCACCACGCGAACACTTGTATTACAGACCCCGCCTTTTACCATTAGTGAAACGTCGCGGCGTCGCCACAGATGCCTCAAGTTGGCAAATGCC